CAAATATTTTCTCACTATTGTCGACGGGTATTCCAAGTTTGTGGAGGTTAAGTGTTTGAAAAACAAGTCAGAGTGTGCTGACAGGATTATTGAGTTTATTACATACACCGAAACAATGTTCAAGTCTCAGGGAAAACAGTTTACCGTGGGAACTATCCGCACTGATAATGGTGGTGAATTTGTTACAGGAAAGTTGCATGATTTCATGAGAAGCAAAGGTATTGCCCATGAGTTGACTGTGCCACACCATAGTTATCAAAATGGTGTTGCTGAAAGAATGCATCGGACAATTCAAGACAAAACTAGGTCTTTAATTATTGGGGCTTCTATGCCGGTTCAGTTTTGGTCTGAAGGTGTCCGCACGGCTGTTTATTTGATTAACAGGACGCCATCCCGCGTTATTAATTTCCACACACCATATGGTCGTTGGTATGGATACAAGCCGGGCCTTGACCATCTTCGCTGCTTTGGTTCCCTTGCATATGTGGTTATACCAAACAGTTTGAGAAATGGAAAATTTGATGCTACCGCCAAGGTTGGAGTGATGCTCGGGTATGATAGAGATCACTGTGCGTACAGAATTTTTGATCCTGCTGCCAACAAGATTATTGTGGCGACTCAGGTCAGATTTGATGAGTCAAGATATTACTATCAGGATGTGAAGCGAGTCACTGATGTGGATACCGAGATTGCTAAGGTAAACAGCTCTGGTGGTATGGGTTTTGCTGGTGGCGTTGCACCAGGCCCTGTTATAAGTGATCCAGACTTAGAGGATGTTGCAAGTGAAATCTCTGTTGATGATGAACGAATGGTTTCTTATTTGGATGATTCAGAAAGAGAGTCCACTGTTTCCTCAAGCAAAGACGTGGAAATGAGAATCATAGACGATGATGAGGATGCCACTGGAGAGTTAATCCCATCAAGGATGGTTTCAGAAGAGTTCAAGTTGGTTACTGCTACAAAAAGGAAAAGATCATCGGGTTCTAGACCCAAGAAAAGTACAGGTTTGATTAAAAGAAATCCATTTGGGATCTTGGCAGAAGTTGAACAAGAATCTGATACATTCAGTTCAGATTCAGAGAGGGAAATTGCTATTGAGAAACCACAAAGGAAGAAATACAGAAACGATAGTAGCTCAAAAGAGCTTACTTCTTTTGTTCCTAATGGTAGTAGCAATGACAACTTGGTGGTTTCGGAAATTGAGCCACATGTTGAACAGCCAAGTGATTGTGATGAGGAATCAGAACTGAATGATGATGCCGAAGGCAAGTTGTTAGAGTACAAACCTGTGAATTATGTTGCCTCTTGTTTTATGGCTGGTGAAGCTGCTGCTTTGGCTGGTGGAAGTGATGTTCCTGGAAATTATAAGGAAGCCATGAAGAGCAACGAAAGTGCAGAATGGAAGCGCGCTTGTGACGAAGAAATTGCGGCTCACAAGGAGAATTCCACTTATGAATTGGTCGAGTTGCCGAAAGGAAGAAAGCCAATTACATGTCGTTGGGTCTTTGCAAAGAAAGATAACGGAGTCTTCAAGGGAAGACTTGTTGCTCGAGGATTCACACAGGTGAAGGGTATTGACTACAATGAGACATTCTCACCTGTGGTGCGTTATGAATCTATCAGGTTGATGTTGAGTATTGCAGCTAAGAATGGAATGGCAGTTCATCAGATGGATGTGAAAACTGCATTCCTCAACGGATCTCTTCAGGAAGAATTATACATGACACAGCCGGAAGGGTATGTGGTTAAGGGAAAAGAAACAATGGTTTTGAGATTGAAGAAAAGCTTATATGGATTGAAGCAAGCTCCCTTGGTGTGGAATGAGAGAATCCACAGTGTATTGTCGTCTCTTGGTTTTGTTAGAAACGGTGCTGAATATTGTTTGTACTCAAGAAAGTCTGAAAAGTCATTTGTGATGGTTGCCCTCTATGTTGACGACTTATTGATAGCTGGTACCTCAGATTTTGCCATCAGGAAAGTGAAAAGTGAATTGATGAATGTCTTCAAGATGAAGGACTTGGGAATAGTCAGGAAATTTTTGGGTATCAATATCTCGCAAGATAATGGAGGTATTAACATGAGCTTGAAAGACTATATTGGCTCTATGTTAAAGGAATTTGGAATGGAGAATTGCAACCCAGATAAGACGCCTACTATTGCTGGTCAGGAGCTCACCTTGGTGGACAACAGTGCTGAGGATTGTGATGCCACAGCTTACAGATCTTTGGTTGGAAAATTATTGTTTGCTGCTAATACTGTTAGAAGCGATATCAGCTATATCGTCGGTGTTCTATCCAGATACCTCAAGGAACCAAAGGAGGTGCATTATAAGGCAGCAAAGAGAGTTTTAAGATACTTGAAAGGAACCAAAGATTTGGGAATAAGATATGAGGCTGGCAATAATGATAACGGTGAGCTTCTTGGATACTGTGATGCTGACTGGGCTGGAGATAAGTCAGACAGAAAGTCTACTACTGGGTTTGTGTTCAAATATGCCAATGGTGCAATCACATGGAGATCTAAGAAGCAAGCTACTGTTGCTCTTTCTACGGCAGAGGCTGAATACATGTCACTAAGTGAAGGAGTCAAGGAAGCATTATGGCTAATGCAAGTGTTCAAGGAATTTGGGATCAATACTGGTCCAGTGAGGATGTTTGATGATAACCAAGGGTGTATTGAGATGGCAAAGCATCCAGCTTTCCATCATCGCACCAAACACATTGACATCAGGACTCACTTTATCAGGGACCACATTGGATCTGGCTCTATCAATTTGGAGTACTTGAGCACTGGTGTTATGATTGCTGATATGTTTACAAAAGGTCTTGCTGCCCCTCAATTCTTGGAGTTGAGAAGGCTCTGTGGTATGGAGACTTTGAATTGAGAGAGGGTGTTGAGTTGGCAATCCAAAGTTATGTGGTTAGTCATTGTTCATGGAACCTTCTAGAATTCCATGGAACTTCTAGAACTATGGAACCTTCTAGAATTCCATGGAACATTCTAGAGCTTATGGAACCTTCTAGAACCCATTGAGATTAATATAAATATGGGCCATGCCCCCCATAGTCTGAGTTTGTCCTTTATATAATTTAGATAGTTAACAAGTAAAACAAGTATAACAAGGGAATAAATATTATTGAATATTATTGTTATCAATGTCTTTTGTAACTAGAGTTACAAAACTACAACAGCTCTCTATGTTGACGACTTATTGATAGCTGGTACCTCAGATTTTGCCATCAGGAAAGTGAAAAGTGAATTGATGAATGTCTTCAAGATGAAGGACTTGGGAATAGTCAGGAAATTTTTGGGTATCAATATCTCGCAAGATAATGGAGGTATTAACATGAGCTTGAAAGACTACATTGGTTCCATGTTAAAGGAATTTGGAATGGAGAATTGCAACCACGATAAGACGCCTACAATTTCTGGCCAAGAACTTACGTTGGTGGATGCCAATGCTGAAACATGTGATGCTACAGCCTATAGATCTTTAGTTGGAAAATTGTTGTTTGCTGCCAATACTGTTAGGAGCGATATTAGTTATATCGTCGGTGTTTTATCAAGATATCTCAAGGAGCCAAAGGAGGTCCATTACAAGGCAGCTAAAAGAGTGTTGAGATATTTGAAAGGTACAAAAGAATTAGGTATAAGATATGAGGCTGGAGATAAAGGAGATGGTGAACTAGTTGGATATTGTGATGCTGACTGGGCTGGAGATAAGTCAGACAGAAAGTCTACTACTGGTTTTGTGTTCAAGTATGCCAATGGTGCAATAACATGGAGGTCCAAGAAACAAGCAACGGTTGCTCTTTCTACAGCTGAAGCAGAATATATGTCTCTCAGCGAAGGTGTGAAAGAGGCATTGTGGTTGAAACAGGTCTTTGAGGAGTTTGGCCTCAACACTGGTGCAGTGAAGATTTATGATGATAACCAGGGGTGTATTGAAATGGCCAAACATCCAGCTTTCCATCACCGTACCAAACATATTGATATCAGGACTCATTTCATCAGGGATCACATTGGATCTGGGACAATTGATTTGCAATACCTTAATACTGGAATCATGGTTGCTGACATGTTCACTAAAGGTCTTGCTGCTCCTCAATTCATAGAGCTAAGAAAGCTTTGTGGTATGGTGACTTTGAATTGAGAGAGGGTGTTGAGTTGACAATCCAAAGTCATATATTGGGTTTTGTACAGATGGCTCAACGGTTAACACGGGTATCAATGTGTTGAATAGATCCTGGGTTCGAGTCTCGGATAAGACGGTTTATTTACCATGGCTGAGCAATATATAATCTGCATGTGATTATGACTCAGCCTAATAATTAGTCATTGTGCATATGATTAATCATCTAGAATGTTCTAGATGGATGTATGATTGCAAATCATATATATTGGTCTTATTATAAATATGGGGCCTCTCCCCATAGTTTGAGTTTATATTTTGTTATTTAAATAGTTAGTTAGTTAAGAAGAATAAGAATAATAACAAGGATAGTTTGATAGTATTTGTTATTGGTAATGACTACTGTAACTAGGGTTACAAAACTTCAACAGAAACCACTCCAAAATTTGGTTATGAGCCTTTGAAATGGTAAATGAGTATTGCAAAGGGGCTTTATTGGGTGTGCGGGTCCCCTGTAACATGTTTAATAATATCAAAGATAAAATATTAATGAAAGCATAAGAATTTTATGCATTTAGTATGAATTTTGTATTCTGTTGGTATGAATAATTAAAGTGCAATAGTATGAACTATTTTTCTTAGATGGTCTGAATAAATCCCGCTGCGGTGGTACGAAAAATACCGGGGGTCGGTATGAATTATTTTTTGCCACTGGTATGAATATTTCCGGTGGGTGGCACGAATAAAAAATGAAAACACTGTATCACCAACCAAATTGACATAAGCACAGTTTAGACCAACTTCATTCAAGAGATTTCTAAAGTAGATGGAGGATCTGGCAGCTTCTGAGAGAGCAACATATTCAGCTTCAGCAGTACTCAAAGCGACGCTCTTCTGTTTGCGAGAGCTCCAGGACACCAATTGATTGTTGATAAAGACGCAATGACCTCCCTGGGACTTTCTATCCTCTTTATCAGTGGCATAATCTGAATCACTAATGGCAGTGATACGGTAACCCGTCTCTTTAGGATAATCTTGGGTTATAACTGGTTTATTCTCTTTGGTTCTATCTATTAACCTAAAGTCTTGATACTCAATATTAAGGGGAGCATTAGGCCCATACACAACACCTTGATCCTTAGTGAACATCAAGTATTGGAAAACCTTTTGAGCAGCGTGAAGATGGGTCTTTCTTGGGGCAGACATGAACTGACTTAACATGTTAACAGGAAAGCAAATATCAACTCTTACTGTGTTAACAATATAGAGGAGTGTACCAATGAGACTTCTATACTTTGATTGTTCTTCCTCATCTAAGAAAGGACTAGCAACATCGTGTGGATTATACCCTTTAACCATAGGAGCTCTCATTGGAGTTAATTTCTGAATGTTCAACTCCTTTTCAACCTTCTCGATGAAATCTTTCATACTGATTTTCATCGTACCAGTAGCATCGTCTCTCTGGATTGTCACACCCAAGAACATCTTTCCGTCAAGTTCTTTCATCTTGAACTTTGAACGCAATACCTCCTTAATCTCCTTCACCTTCTTCTCGTTTTCACCAAACACCAACATATCATCAACATACACCAACACCATGATCCCTTTGTCATAGAAAAGACATGGATCAATATTGGACACCTTCAAGTCCGCAGACTTTAGCACGCCAGCCAACTTATCGTACCAGATGGCTGGACTTTGTTTGAGACCATACAAACTCTTCCTGAGTTTCCACACTTTACCAGCTGGGGTCTCAGTTCCAGCTGGAGGCTTAACATATATTGAGTAGTCAATATCACCATTTAAGAAAGCAGTTGTTGCATCTAGCTGTACCATGGACCAATTCTTTGCGGCAGCAATCGACAACACAAATCTAACAGTGTCGAAACTAGCAACCGGGGCCCAGTAATCTAAGTAGTTCACTCCCCTTTCTTGTGAAAAACCTTTACACACCAAACGAGCTTTGAATACTTCTTCACTGGCTTTGGCTTTAACACTGAAGACCCATCTGGAATTTACAGTCTTCATGCCTTCGACATAATCAACCTCTTCGTATACTTTGTTGATTTTTAAGGCAGTGAGCTCATTTAAAATAGCAACTAGCCATTTCACTTTCTGCTCACTAGCTAAAACTTGGCTGTAATTGTTTGGGATTTCATACTTGGTTCTTTCAACAGCAAGATACACTTCTTCAGCTAGTAAGGAGACTTCACCATCCTTTGTAGTTAGTAACAGTGGCTGTTCCATTTCCTCTGAAGTGCTAGCAACATCTTTGCCATCTGTTATTAGTGGCCGTGGTTCTGGTCCAACCAACATTCGGCCATTAAACATCACTGAAGGATTCTTTTGATAAACAATAGTTGGATCATTTTCCATCCACTTGTTTGTCTGATTATCTCTAGGCACAGTATAATCAGCAACTCTTTGAACGCCTTTACCGGCTCCACCATATGGAACAAGATCTTTCACAGCTTGATGCTTTTTAACGACTAGCCTTCCCTCTGGACCGGCAATCATCTTCTTTACTGGTTTGCTTTCTAACAACATACCAGTTGTGGTATCAGACTCACTTTCACTGTGAGCTACCCGTTTAGTTCCTCTAGTTTTCTCGTCAGGAACTCTAGTAGATTTGACTTGAAGATCACTAGGGACGGGTTTAACAATGACTTGGGTTACATTGTTTGGTCTGACCAACACCTCAGTGATTGACATTGCAGTAGTAGCAGACGGAAACAACCTCTCAGTTTCACTATCTTGAGCATTGTTGAACATTTTGTGTCCAAACGTGGAAAACCGTTTAGCTTGGCTATCATCAGTATCACTTGCCTCACTTCCATAATAGTTGGAAGGAAAATTAGAGCTTGAAGAGACACCAGCATCGTTACCACTGGACAGCCCATTATCATCATCGCCTGATGATTCCCTTCTAGGCATTGGGTCTGGGAAGACTGGATCTGGAGAAGCTTGTTTAGCACCAACCTGTTCAGGAGTAGTTTGACCATCGGATTTTGAAGCAGTAGCATCACTCATATCAACATCAAACGGCTCAGCTTGGTCTTCTTCTTCAACAGAGGACTCATCCCCCCCTGAAAATGAACTATCTTGAGTAACATTTTCAAGGTTTTCATCAAAAGCAGCAATAGAGTCAACTGACATATCACGATCAGGAACATGTACACCTCCTGAAGCACCACTAACACCGCCAACGCGGCCACCTCCTCCGCCAACAAACATGCCACCACCACCACTACCAGCACCGCCGAGCGCGGCCTGACCATTCTTCAAAGGATAAACTAATGGCATAAAACGGAAAGCACTGGATCTAACCACTCTACCATCTTTTAAGAGTGCAAAAACTATTTTAGTTGTTTTGCTATATCCCAAAAACACACCAGCTTCTTCTTGGATAGGATCAAACTTGCTTTGTCTGTGATAATCTTTGATAAAGACACGACATCCAAAAGGAGCTTTGACTTGGAATTCCTTTTTCTGTTCTCTGAGCAACTCATAGGGGGACCTCCCGCCATTTAATGGTAGATAATTGTGGACAAACACCGCATGGCTAAGGGCAAAGTTCCAATACGAAATGTCTACGCCCGAAGCCTTATTGTAGTTTTGTAACTCTAGTTACAAAAGACATTGATAACAATAATATTCAATAATATTTATTCCCTTGTTATACTTGTTTTACTTGTTAACTATCTAAATTATATAAAGGACAAACTCAGACTATGGGGGGCATGGCCCATATTTATATTAATCTCAATGGGTTCTAGAAGGTTCCATAAGCTCTAGAATGTTCCATGGAATTCTGGAAGGTTCCATAAGTTCTAGAAGGTTCCATAAGTTCTAGAAGGTTCCATGAGTTCTAGAAGGTTCCATAAGTTCTAGAAGGTTCCATGAGTTCTAGAAGGTTCCATAAGTTCTAGAAGGTTCCATGAGTTCTAGAAGGTTCCATGAGCTCTAGAAGGTTCCATGAACAATGACTAACCACATAACTTTGGATTGCCAACTCAACACCTTAAGGATAGAAAACATTTTTTCTTGTAAAATACCATTCAATCGCTCAGCTCCACCATTCTGATGAGACGAATGTGGGGCTGTCGGTTCGAAATCAATGAAATTTCTACCACTCGATGGGCTACCATCTAACCAGTTCTTAATTGCATTGGTATCAAACTCATTGTCTGCACGGAACATGACAATGTTTTTGTTTGAATCAGCTTGTTTAAGGAAATTATGGAACATTCCTAAACACTCAATGGTCTTGGCTGACACTTCAGCTCTTGATTTAAGCACCCTGTGAGCAACAAACTTAGAGGCCCTGTCTGACACAATAAGGGCATAAGCTTTGTTTATCGGACCTATAACATCAGCCTGAATCATCTCACCAACGTTGTACTTTCGCACAGCTGGTTTACCGCCCGGCTTGGTGACTTTGGACATACACGTTTCACAACTGGTCAAAACATACTTAATATCAGCTTCTAAAACACCATGGCCTTTCAATAACTCTTTCATGGTTCTCAACTTCGCATGATTGTTACTTTCATGCACTTCTTTGATAGCCTTTAAGCCCTCGTAACTATCGACATTAAAGGCCATCTCTTCGGCGGAATCAGCTTTAACGCTCAATTCCCAGAACGGTCCAACTCTTGGAAAGTTCAAAACAACATTACCATTTTTACGGTTGGCAATAGAACCATTATGCTTGCTAAGCAACACGTCGAATCCACTATCCACAATCTTCGGGATTGAAAGTAGATTCCGTGGCAAGCCATCCATTAACTTGATACCGTTAACGGACAATTTTTGAGACAACAAATCACCTTGTTGTTTCACGGTACTTAAACCGTTGACACCTAACACCTTGGTATCATCGCGACGGACATTGGCCAACTTTATCTTCATATTTGCAAGATGACAGGTGGACCCACTATCCAACGTAAATCTGTTGTAGTTTTGTAACTCTAGTTACAAAAGACATTGATAACAATAATATTCAATAATATTTATTCCCTTGTTATACTTGTTTTACTTGTTTTACTTGTTAACTATCTAAATTATATAAAGGACAAACTCAGACTATGGGGGGCATGGCCCATATTTATATTAATCTCAATGGGTTCTAGAAGGTTCCATAAGCTCTAGAATGTTCCATGGAATTCTAGAAGGTTCCATAAGTTCTAGAAGGTTCCATAAGTTCTAGAAGGTTCCATAAGTTCTAGAAGGTTCCATGAGTTCTAGAAGGTTCCATGAACAATGACTAACCACATAACTTTGGATTGCCAACTCAACACCCTCTCTCAATTCAAAGTCTCCATACCACAGAGCCTTCTCAACTCCAAGAATTGAGGGGCAGCAAGACCTTTTGTAAACATATCAGCAATCATAACACCAGTGCTCAAGTACTCCAAATTGATAGAGCCAGATCCAATGTGGTCCCTGATAAAGTGAGTCCTGATGTCAATGTGTTTGGTGCGATGATGGAAAGCTGGATGCTTTGCCATCTCAATACACCCTTGGTTATCGTCAAACATCCTCACTGGACCAGTATTGATCCCAAATTCCTTGAACACTTGCATTAGCCATAATGCTTCCTTGACTCCTTCACTTAGTGACATGTATTCAGCCTCTGCCGTAGAAAGAGCAACAGTAGCTTGCTTCTTAGATCTCCATGTGATTGCACCATTGGCATATTTGAACACAAACCCAGTAGTAGACTTTCTGTCTGACTTATCTCCAGCCCAGTCAGCATCACAGTATCCAAGAAGCTCACCGTTATCATTATTGCCAGCCTCATATCTTATTCCCAAATCTTTGGTTCCTTTCAAGTATCTTAAAACTCTCTTTGCTGCCTTATAATGCACCTCCTTTGGTTCCTTGAGGTATCTGGATAGAACACCGACGATATAGCTGATATCGCTTCTAACAGTATTAGCAGCAAACAATAATGTTCCAACCAAAGATCTGTAAGCTGTGGCATCACAATCCTCAGCACTGTTGTCCACCAAGGTGAGCTCCTGACCAGCAATAGTAGGCGTCTTATCTGGGTTGCAATTCTCCATTCCAAATTCCTTTAACATAGAGCCAATATAGTCTTTCAAGCTCATGTTAATACCTCCATTATCTTGCGAGATATTGATACCCAAAAATTTCCTGACTATTCCCAAGTCCTTCATCTTGAAGACATTCATCAATTCACTTTTCACTTTCCTGATGGCAAAATCTGAGGTACCAGCTATCAATAAGTCGTCAACATAGAGGGCAACCATCACAAATGACTTTTCAGACTTTCTTGAGTACAAACAATATTCAGCACCGTTTCTAACAAAACCAAGAGACGACAATACACTGTGGATTCTCTCATTCCACACCAAGGGAGCTTGCTTCAATCCATATAAGCTTTTCTTCAATCTCAAAACCATTGTTTCTTTTCCCTTAACCACATACCCTTCCGGCTGTGTCATGTATAATTCTTCCTGAAGAGATCCGTTGAGGAATGCAGTTTTCACATCCATCTGATGAACTGCCATTCCATTCTTAGCTGCAATACTCAACATCAACCTGATAGATTCATAACGCACCACAGGTGAGAATGTCTCATTGTAGTCAATACCCTTCACCTGTGTGAATCCTCGAGCAACAAGTCTTCCCTTGAAGACTCCGTTATCTTTCTTTGCAAAGACCCAACGACATGTAATTGGCTTTCTTCCTTTCGGCAACTCGACCAATTCATAAGTGGAATTCTCCTTGTGAGCCGCAATTTCTTCGTCACAAGGGCGCTTCCATTCTGCACTTTCGTTGCTCTTCATGGCTTCCTTATAATTTCCAGGAACATCACTTCCACCAGCCAAAGCAGCAGCTTCACCAGCCATAAAACAAGAGGCAACATAATTCACAGGTTTGTACTCTAACAACTTGCCTTCGGCATCATCATTCAGTTCTGATTCCTCATCACAATCACTTGGCTGTTCAACATGTGGCTCAATTTCCGAAACCACCAAGTTGTCATTGCTACTACCATTAGGAACAAAAGAAGTAAGCTCTTTTGAGCTACTATCGTTTCTGTATTTCTTCCTTTGTGGTTTCTCAATAGCAATTTCCCTCTCTGAATCTGAACTGAATGTATCAGATTCTTGTTCAACTTCTGCCAAGATCCCAAATGGATTTCTTTTAATCAAACCTGTACTTTTCTTGGGTCTAGAACCCGATGATCTTTTCCTTTTTGTAGCAGTAACCAACTTGAACTCTTCTGAAACCATCCTTGATGGGATTAACTCTCCAGTGGCATCCTCATCATCGTCTATGATTCTCATTTCCACGTCTTTGCTTGAGGAAACAGTGGACTCTCTTTCTGAATCATCCAAATAAGAAACCATTCGTTCATCATCAACAGAGATTTCACTTGCAACATCCTCTAAGTCTGGATCACTTATAACAGGGCCTGGTGCAACGCCACCAGCAAAACCCATACCACCAGAGCTGTTTACCTTAGCAATCTCGGTATCCACATCAGTGACTCGCTTCACATCCTGATAGTAATATCTTGACTCATCAAATCTGACCTGAGTCGCCACAATAATCTTGTTGGCAGCAGGATCAAAAATTCTGTACGCACAGTGATCTCTATCATACCCGAGCATCACTCCAACCTTGGCGGTAGCATCAAATTTTCCATTTCTCAAACTGTTTGGTATAACCACATATGCAAGGGAACCAAAGCAGCGAAGATGGTCAAGGCCCGGCTTGTATCCATACCAACGACCATATGGTGTGTGGAAATTAATAACGCGGGATGGCGTCCTGTTAATCAAATAAACAGCCGTGCGGACACCTTCAGACCAAAACTGAACCGGCATAGAAGCCCCAATAATTAAAGACCTAGTTTTGTCTTGAATTGTCCGATGCATTCTTTCAGCAACACCATTTTGATAACTATGGTGTGGCACAGTCAACTCATGGGCAATACCTTTGCTTCTCATGAAATCATGCAACTTTCCTGTAACAAATTCACCACCATTATCAGTGCGGATAGTTCCCACGGTAAACTGTTTTCCCTGAGACTTGAACATTGTTTCGGTGTATGTAATAAACTCAATAATCCTGTCAGCACACTCTGACTTGTTTTTCAAACACTTAACCTCCACAAACTTGGAATACCCGTCGACAATAGTGAGAAAATATTTGCTCGAATCAATAGACCCATAATTGATTGGGCCACACACGTCCATATGCAACAATTGTAAAGGCTGTTGTGGTTTAGCACCCTTCCCGCTCTTTGGTCTTCTGGTAACCCCTTTACTTGTCAAGCAGCTTTCACATAACTGCACAGAATCTTCACTGTAAAGTTTACCTTTCACCAAATGAAACATCAGATTGAACTTGTTCATAATATTCATACTGGGATGGCCTAATCTCTGGTGCCACAACCCGCTCTTATCAACACTGTTAAATGCCACACCATCGACACTGGTGTGCAAAGCATAAAGATCACTCATAACTGGATCTTTAACAGCAACCACTTTCTTTTCAGGGTACATTTTCACCTTGTTTCCTTCAAATAATAATCTTGCACCATTCAGAGTAGCCTTGGAAACAGAAATCAAATTGGCCTTTGACCCTGGAACATAATAAGCATCCTTGATTTCGATACTGGTGTTATCACGTAACTTAAACACCGCAGACCCGATACCTTGAACCTCGAGAGAACTACCATCAATACCTGAGATCTCACCAGAAAAAGGACCAATGGTTTTAAACATCTTTCTGTCATTCAAAATATGTTGCGAGGCACCAGAGTCAAAGTACACTCTGGAGGCCCTACCATGCATTCCCATAAATGCATACCAAGATGGTGATGGATTCTTCAGATCACCACCCATTCTCTCCTTTCTAGGAGCCTTGCAATCCTTCTTCAAATGACCGGGTTTTCCACAATTGAAGCACTTGTACTGTTTCTTAAAAGCAAACACAGGTTCCAAACCCTCAACACTGGTGGAACCAATCGATTTATCTCCAATGATTTCTCTTGTCAAATCTTGGACAAGCCCAATATCAACATTTCCAATAGTCCTGCCATTTCTAGACTCATACGCAGTCATGACTTCCCTGGAAAGAGTTGCATTAAACCCGGCTTTCTGACCCAAGCTCAAAAACAACGCACACAACACAGTGTTTCCGTCTAATTTGCCAACAGTATTCTTGAAGTGATTGAAGGCATCAATGAAATTCTCAACGTTTCCGTTGCTAGATTTCAACCACTTAGCGTCAATTAAATCTGAGATAATACCAACAGCATTTGTAACAGTCAATGTACCATAAGCATCCTTGAGAAACATAAACAAGTTTCTACCAGTACCATCAAATTCGGAAGCCTTAGTCAAAGCAGCGCCTGAGATGCTGTTGAAAATGGCTGTTGAAATAATCTCATCCATAGTAGCAATCAATTGGGCAACTTCATTAGCAGTTTCCAGCCCGTCGGTTCCGGTTTCCCCATTGATCAAGTAAGCATGTAAACCAAGACCTTTCATCTTCATCTTAACACTGATCAAAGTAAACCAATCATAAAAGTTCCCGGAGCCCTTCAACTTCTCATCAGCAGCGAACGAAGTGAGAGCATTTGAACTCATAACCTGTTGTAGTTTTGTAACTCTAGTTACAAAAGACATTGATAACAATAATATTCAATAATATTTATTCCCTTGTTATACTTGTTTTACTTGTTTTACTTGTTAACTATCTAAATTATATAAAGGACAAACTCAGACTATGGGGGGCATGGCCCATATTTATATTAATCTCAATGGGTTCTAGAAGGTTCCATAAGCTCTAGAATGTTCCATGGAATTCTAGAAGGTTCCATAAGTTCTAGAAGGTTCCATAAGTTCTAGAAGGTTCCATGAGTTCTAGAAGGTTCCATGAACAATGACTAACCACATAACTTTGGATTGCCAACTCAACAAAATCTCACTGCGGTATCTGTTTTACACGCACCTACAGTAGAAAACGCTTTCTTGCGACCATAGTTAGGTTTAACACTGGATATACCAGTTCCAGGACCAGGCTTGGTTTCAACCAACCAAGCCTCCTCTGAAGAGTGGTTCTCTTCAGCTTCAAACACCGTTTGCAGATAGAACGCTCTAGCATCCGGTTTTCTCTCGTAAAACTTAGAGAGCCCTGGCTTGTGGTTAGGACAATCCCTAGCGATATGTCCCTTCTTACCACAGTTCCAGCAAGTCCAGTTCTTTCTCCCACTGGACCCACGTTGGTGCACCACATTTTGGGCGAGTTCCATCAGGTTCTCTTCTTCAATGCGACTATACTTTTGACTCATTTCTTCGAAAAATCCGGCCACTTCGTCAAAAGATAAGTTTTCAAAACCGGCTTCTGGATCATTGTATCCAGTTTTATCGAAGAACTTTTGCCTAGTACCATCATCCATGATGGCACATGCGGCAAGCGGAATCAACTTCTTAGGGACGTCAAAGTAATACGCAAACGCGGTAGTAGCTCTCTCCATTAATTCGCTATTACCTTTGGTAAGTGCATAACCAAAGTTATGCAAGACCTGGACTTGAGACTCATAATCAATCAGCTTGTACTTCTTGGCGAAAGCATACCACGCAAGCACCCCGTTGGGTTGCTTGTGCATAACCCGTTTGAAGAGCTTTTCATCTAACTTCACCCTTAAGGCAGCTTGAATCAAGACACCCAAAAAGTATGGGGCTTGATTAGAGCTATCGGCCTCAAAGAATTGGTCAGCGATAAAAGTTGGATTCTCCAAACTCAAGGTCGCAAACGCAGTTTTCATGTACTCAAGTACTAATGGAAACTCCAAACCCTCTTGCACCTTCGTTTCTTTCGCTCCCTTAAGGGACTCGTTAAAAAGCTTAATGCTAGACTCGGTAACATCCCAAGCAGCACTTCCAAAGCTAAACGTAACACCCGACATTTTATTGTACTTATGAAGACCTATAATATTCCAAAATACTCGGTATAGATTTCAAAGGCAAAATAAGGCAAATTTATTTCTCTAATTGTTCTCCTTTATCTTTAGATATAAAGGACAGTAAGCAGTTAGTAAGTTGGAATATCAAAGCACTCGGACTGTAAATCTGTTAGAATTCTACAGGTCTACAAAGTACTTTAATATATAAAGACGAAACAAACGCACTCACGTATAATGACAAACACTTTAGATAATAAAGTTAAATATAAGGACAGTAGTAAGGACAAACAGCACGACACCTAGCAACCTTAAACCAATAATGGCTGTAAATATAATCTTGATAGCAACGACTATAATATTTATTAGTAGAGATCTAATGATCTGGTTCCTAGTATAAGACCTACAGACCCCTTGATTGTAGGATCTCGGAAAAGTGTCACCAGAGCGCACTTTCACCAGAAGAGGTAATTATTGTACATAGGTGTCCGGCGTTTTTCTTGTCGGAAAATCATTGTTCCACCATAGTACACAAGATCACATAAAGTACCCTTAAGTTAAGTGATAGACAAAATCAGACTATTGGAGCTTGCACTGTACTAAGAGCTACATTTCAACATGAAATTCTTTCAAATAAATCCAAGAACCTATCTTTGGTTCTAAGCGGCTCTGGCAAACTTGAGTGAGGAAATTTTTTCCATCCTTTGGAACAATCTTTTTCACAAAGGCATTAAATTGACTAGGAGTAGGACGAGTAAGGCGGGATCAAACGTTATTTGGGTCGGGTGGTTCCTCTCCTGGCCGAGGTTTGCGGAGTGATACTCTTGGTGGCAAGCCGAGTTTTTCCGCTTGTGTTGGTTTTCTTTTCCTCGCCATTATGCTATGCTATGGAGGAATATAGCACTGTATAATGAATGCAATATCTTACCTATAGATGTGTCATGTTGTTGTTTTTTTCTTCTGCATTGAAATTTGAAAAACCAGAGCCAAATGATCACATCACACTTGCGTAATGTCGCAGGAATTAGCATGAACAGCCTCTCTCTATCGCAGAAAATTCACGATTTTTTTGACAAAGCCCATTCTCTTATCGTAAATTATACCATTTGAAAGCCCCATCAATTGTGATTTCAAAGGTCTAATTTTTACTACATATTTCATAATACCCATAGATATATAAGGGCCTGAAAAACGCAATTTTTGGGACTTTGGCATTTTTCGCGCATTTTTTTCCCATGCGAAAAAAAAATTCAGTGTACCCATGATGAAATAAATACAGCTGTCGTAAATAGCCCCACGCGGGGCTCGAACCCGCAACCTTTCGATTACCACTAATTTAAGAGTCGAATGCACTACCGATTGTGCTAGCGAGGCATACTCCGCGACGGGGAATTGAACCCCGGTCCCCCGCGCGACAAGCGGGGATTCTAGCCACTAAACTATCACGGAACTGATATCTTGTTATATTACGATGCGACTATACTAGATGTAGTTAGTCACAGGTTAGGACATATCGGTACGCACACGTCATATACCAACTACTAACATCCCTGGAAAAATATTTATATCACCAAATCTTGAGATATAAAATCCAATACGCCATTAACACCCAAATCCAAGTGGAATCTCTACTTGATCAATACCAAAAATCTCAACTCCATCCAGAATCTCACTTTCAAAGAATTGGAAGTATGATTGACAGAAACTCCATCCAAACACATATATGGTACTTTCCGTTACTTGGCTACCAACTCTCATATCCTGGCAGCTCCACCAAGAAAATTACCCTTTCTGACATTGTCAAAAGCAACATTTTCTCACTAGAAGAGAAAAAATACCTCAAATCATGGTCGATTTTATTTGATCTAGAGAACCAGGGAAAAACAAGGTATCACAGATGCAGAAGATTGAAGATTGAAGATATCCAGGACAATTTAGCAAAACCAGTACCAGAGAAATACAAGGCCCACCATCAAAAAATGTTCACTTTTGATTTTAAGAACGGCAGCAAACAGGAACAACTCAAACGAGACGTCTCCAAAGCATCAACAACATTGACCAAAATCACATACCCCCTGGAGCCACAACAAAGAAAATTTTGGAAACAGATTAACCAGATCAAAAGGTGGGTACCGGGTTCAATGGAGAACCTCCACCTCATGATGTTGGGGCTCACATTGTTCAAATCAACAAATTCCCGTTGCCATGTTTGTAATTTTCCTCCAGAAAATTGGAACACCAACCCCAGGGATCCTGACCATATCAAGGAAGCCTACATCACCCATTACTACATAAATTGCACAGTATCAAGAAACTTATGGAAAATATTAAAAATGGGAATATCTCAAACATGGGATAACATCATATTGCATCAACATCAGAAACAAACTATGATAAAATTGGATCGCTTCGCTTATTACATTGAAAAATATAATAGGGTACGAAGGTCAAATAATGCAGATTGGACAAATCAATCAATGAAAACATTATTATATCTTATTACAGCGGTCTACTAAAAAATTAAAATAACCATAAAACAAAATAAAAATAAAAATAAAAATAATATTAAAAATAAAAATAAAAATAGTCAATATCTTAAAGGGGGTTTTTAGTGAGTAGAAATCTCACACTGTTGAATATTAATTTAAAAAAATTGAAATTCTTCGTCTTTTGAAGATTTTCCTCCTCAAAACCAAGAACAAGTTTATATAATTATATACTTATGAGATTTAATATAAATCGAAATTATTGGAAAAAAAAAAAAAAGGACCTGCGCTGGGTGGCGTAGTGGGCAGAACCATAGACTAAGAAAGGGTCGCGTGTTCGAACCCCGCTCGCGGCATTAACCACCAGGTCACGTTCAGTACGCTAACTGAGTAAGGAGTAATACCACTCTGAAGGTAAGATACAAGGGGGTTTTAGTGAGTAAAAATCTCACACTACCGGTAAGGTTGCGTCGCTGGTGTCTTTCGAAGATTTCCTCCTCCCTGGCTAAAAAAAAAAATAGTGACAGGTTGCTACAAGTCAAAAACATTGCATTTTCCAACCCAAACTCCCGGGTTACCAAAAATATTGGGAGAAAACGGACACCAAATAAGTCGCCATAGCTGCGCATAATTGATCATAATAACCGTACATAAAAAGTGCGATGACCTATATAGCTCTTAGTAGTTAAATATAGGGACTTTATAAAAAAAAAAAATAGGACACCACCACAAAATGAACTGAGCAATTTATGGAAGAATCCATTCCACCAATTGGGATTAATATCCAAAGAAAAAGATGATGATTATGAAAATATCCAAACTACCACACCAGTTATCAACAGAAAGCATCAAATCACCCCTCCTCCGGTTAATCAAGTTAGAAAGGCCTCCAAAAAGAAGGCATCCGTCAAACCAAAGAAAATCCTTCAAAGGGAGAAACCAGCTGAAACCAAGCAAGAGTCAGCCAAACCAGGAATTAAGTTGAATGTGTTTAGATCCCATCCAATTACCCCAAAATCTAATCAAACCTTGTCCAACCCAACTTCTACCCCAAAATCTACCCCAAAATCTACCCCAATCTCTACCCCAATTTTGACCAAAATTAACACCACCAAGCCTTCAGCACCAAAACCATTTGTACCAAAATCTATTAAGTTAGTCATTAAAGACCCACACCCATCAGTGACATCAAAACTGGCACAAACTGGCTCTAAAGAGCCAACCCTGTCTGAATCAAGTGCAGAACCTGATAATGATAATGACGAAGAATATGATGAGGAGTATGAAAATGATGGAGAATACATCTATGATGCAAAAGACGAATATGAGGATTCAGAAGAATATGAGGAGGATGAAATGCTACTGGGTGATGAAATTCCAGTACATGAGAAAACAGAATTAACACCAACCAATGATGATTTGTCAACTCTGGAAGCTGATGCAACCAGAAACAAACAGACAAATCAAAATTCCAATGAATAAACATAATGATTATTAAAATCAATACTCAAAATATACAACGGAGTCGTATCAGCGACCAGTTGGTAATAAGTTTCACCCAAAAATCCAATGTGTCTTTGCTCCAAGAACTAAATCTATCAGAAGACTTTTCGTTTCAGTTCGATAACAAAGTCATATATTATAATTCAACCTGTTCCAGAACAGCAATAATTGTTGATGATTCTATTCCAGTGTTAGGATCCAAATTAGCAGGTATTACTGTCCAACATGAACTCCAAAAACACATCACGGATGTCTTAATTGAATTAGAAAATAACCAAGCACTCTGGATTATAAACTTGTATAATCCAAATCAATACCAAAAGCAAAATCAGATCCATGATCAGCTCAAACTCAGTTTACTTGCCCAACATCAGAATCTTCAAACTAGATTCCCAGGAAAGACAATCAACATCATGTTAGCTGGTGATTTTAATAATTTTATTGATCGTTCGGACTCCCTAAATTATAGAAGCCGTGAAGACTCAGTTGCTGAATCCTTAACTAATCTCATTACTTTGTTGAACTTGAAGGACTCATTCAATTCAATCAAACATAACATCAAGAAAACATTCACTAATAAAGCATCAGAATTAGGGAAAAGCCGGAGATTGGATAGGTTCTATATCACTGGGAGCTTCTTAAAAAACAAAGAAAACAAATGGAATATGACACAAACAAATCATTTTGGGAAAAGATCCACACATGATTCAGTTACAGTGGAGTTGACTTTAACTTCATCCAAGGCTTACTATAATATGAAGAGATATAGATTGACCGATAGTGTTGAGTTGGCAATCCAAAGTTATGTGGTTAGTCATTGTTCATGGAACCTTCTAGAACTCATGGAACCTTCTAGAACTTATGGAACCTTCTAGAACTTATGGAACCTTCTAGAATTCCATGGAACATTCTAGAGCTTATGGAACCTTCTAGAACCCATTGAGATTAATATAAATATGGGCCATGCCCCCCATAGTCTGAGTTTGTCCTTTATATAATTTAGATAGTTAACAAGTA